GTATAAAAGCTTAACTTGAGAGAATCCCAATTATTTGTTTTAGTTTTATTTCCCTTGCATAGGAATCAAGTCACCAGACACATCTTGTCATTGATGTCATGGGATATATTAACTGTGTTTTCTTCTATTTATTTTATAAGTTTTATATCTAAATCTTTAATCCCTTTAGAGTTTATTTTTGCATATGGAGTTAGTGAGTGATTCACTAATTCTTTTATGTGTGGTCTTCAGATTTTCCCAGCACTATTTAAAAGACCCTGTCCTTTCCCTGTTGTATTGTCATAGCTGTTTATCATAGGTTAGGTACTACTATGTACATGGATTTATTTCTGGACTTTTGGTTCTGTCCATGTATTTATTTTTTGTTAATGCCAAATTGCTTTTTTTTTAAAGATTATTTATTTATGCATAGAATAAATATGCATAAATATTTATGGGGTGCAGACCAGAGGTGCAGAGGGGTGAGAGGATTTACCAGAGACAGAGTGGAGAACAGAACAGATGATTGACTGAAATACACTGCTGAGGGGAGCAGTGGACAACAGGAGAGGTCTGCTGCGCCATTTGTAGGTTAGCTCCCTGGCCAGGGATCAAACTCAGTCCCCAAGATTATAGTGTGATAGCACTGAGACTTAACCCCTATGCCACTAGGGAGGTCCCCAAATTGCTTTTAGTATTGTTGCTTTTTATAGTGGTTTGAAGATAGGTAATATCATACTGCCACTTTTCTCTTTTGCAATTTGAGGCCTCTTGGGTTTCCATATAAAGTTCAACACTTTTGTTCAATTCTTTGAAAAATATTGCTGGTGTTTTAATGGGTATTATATTAAATTTGTATGATTTTCATCAGGACAGTTATTTTGATTATATTGATTCTCTCTGCCCATGAGCATGAGATATCCTTCTATCTCTTTATGTCTTTAATAAAATGTTGTAATTCTCATTATATAGGTCTTTTACAACTCTTTAGGTCAATTTTAAGATACTTCTTTTTTTTTTTTCTTTTTTTTTTCTTTCTTTTTTTTTTTTTCTTTTTTTTTTTTTTTTTTTTTTTGTGGGACCCTCGCCGCCGGCCGGGGAACGAACCGGCGTTGCAGAGGCTGTGAGCAGCCTTGCAGCCCAGCGCTCAACCGCTGCGCCACCAGGCCCATTTCATTATTTTTGAAATAATTATGATTGACATTATTTTATTAACTTTTTGCTTCTTTATTATTTGTATATGAGAAAGGCTATGGGTTCTTGTGTGTTGGTTTTGAAAACTGCCATTCTTCTGTATTCATTGTGTATAATAACTTTTTGATGGAGTCTTTAGGATCTCCTCTATTGACTCTCATATCATCCAGGAATAGTGATAGTTATTTCACTTCATTTCCTGTTTTTGAATTCTTTTTTTTTTTAACTTTTCTGTTGCTTATCTTTTTTTTTTTTTTTAATATTTATTTATTTATACAAGCACTGGGTACAGTCAGAAGCGCGGGAGGGTGAGAAAATTCACTGGAGCCAGAGCGGGGAACAGAACAGACAGACTGACGAAGTACACTGCTGAGGGGAGCAGCAGGCACAGAAGGAGAGGTCTGCACGCCATGTGGGACCCTCGCCCGAGGCGGGGGATCAAACTGGCGCTGCAGAGGCTGCAGGCAGCTTTGCAGCCCAGCGCTCAACAGCTGTGCCACCAGGGGAGGCCCTGAATTCCTTTTATTTCCCATGTTTTTCTGAGCACTCTGGCTAAAACGTCTAGTAATCGTTAAGTAGAAGTAGTGACAACGAGTGTCCTTGTCTTGTTTCCCAATCTTAAATGGAAAGCTTTCAGTGTTTAACCATTATTGTATTGGCTATTGCTTTGTGATATAAGCCTGTATTATATTGAGGTAGGTTCCTTTTATTCCCATATGTAAGTAATGAATCTTATAAAATGCTTTCTCTGCATCTATTGATGTTATTTTTAATCTTTACTTTTGTATTACATGTAATACATTGATGTATTACATTAACTGAAATACCGTATATTAAACCAATCTTGGCTCTCTGGGATAAATCCCTCTTGATCATGATATATAATCCTAGTGGTATACTGTTGAATTCAACTTGCTACTATTTTATTGATGATTTTGTATTGCTGTTCATCAGGGATATTGGGCTATAATTTTCTTTTATTGTGTTATCTTTTTTTAAAAAAGATTTATTTATTTATGCATACAAGAGCTGGGGTACAGGCTTGAGGTGTGGGGGGGCGGGTGAGAGGACTCACCAGAGACAGAGTGGGGAACAGAACAGGCAGATTTACCTAAGCACACTGCTGAGGGGAGCAGCAGGCGAGTGAGGAGAGGTCTGTTGTGCCATGTGGGTTGCTCCCTAGCTGGCCAGGGGATCGAACTTGTGCTTCAGAGGCTGGGGGCAGTTTCATAGGTTGTGTCTTAACCCCTTGCGCCACCAGGGAGGCCCCCTATTGTGTTATCTTTGTCTAGTTTTGGCATTAGGGTAATGTTGGTATTGTAAAATGTATTAGGGAACACTCCAGCTTCTTGCATTTTTTGTTATTACCATTGTTATTAAAATGTCATTATCTTACATCCTTGCTGGTGTCTGGGTTGGTGTCTGGGCATTTCCTCCCACCCCCAGGTATAGTCACTGTAGCCCTTCTTCTGCCAAAGCACCCACAGTCTTCCACCATTGTGTTTTCCCCCTCCTTTCACCTCTCATTTCACCAATCTACCTCCCACTCCCCCTCTGAAAGCTTAAGGTAACTGGTCAGTGTCCATAAAATTGTGGGTTTATTTCTGGGCTCTCAATTCTATTCCATTGGTTTGTGTGTTTATATTTATTCCAATTCCATACTGTTGTGATTACTATAACTTTGTAGTATAGTGTGAAGTCTGGTAGTGTGATACCTTTGTTGTTGTTATCAGGATTGCTTTGATTATACAGGGGTCTTTTGTAATTCCATATAAAGTTATGTTCTTTAAAGAGTGTCATTGAAATTTTGATATTGCAGTGAATAAAATGAACATTTGCAAAATTCAAATGATGTTATTATCATAAGATAAAGAGAGTTTGTTTTTTCTGAAGCCAAACTGAAAGAGTAACTGATAAAATTGGAAGGGAAAGAGTAGTGGTTCTTTTATCTATCAGCTTTACTTTTCTTAAAATATTTGTGACATCTCTTTTATTCCTCTGAAATGAAATTCATAGATGAATTACCTATTCTTATGCTTTTTAAAAGTTAATATAAATGTGAGAGTAAATAAATGAATATAATTTATAATAATACACATTTCAATGTGTGAATTCTATTTTCTTTCTTTTTTTGTTATTCTTTTCAATGTGCAAATTCTGTGTCAAATTTCTCTAGTAGACATAATACAATAAAGTAGTAGACATGGAGGCTTGCACCTATATGTCGAATTAAAATAAATGTGAGTGGCCTCCCTGGTGGCGCAAGGGGGACACAGCACTATGAAGCTGTCTGCAATCACTGCAGCGCGAATTTGATCCCCTGCCAGGGAGATACCCACATGGCGAAGCAGACCTCCCCTGTCTTGTCCGCTGCTCCCCTCAGCAGTGTATTTCAGTACATCTGCCTGTTCTGCTCCCCGCTCTTGTCTCTGGTGGATCCTTTCACCCCCCACATCTCTGGCCTGCACCCCAGCACTTGTATGCATAAACCAATAAATCTCTTTGAAAAAAGAAATAAAAAAAATGAAAGCTACAAATATAAGCTAATACAAATGCAGGTTTAACATTTTGGCCATATTTACTATAAACACTAGTGCACTGTTGGTACTATGATGTTGCAGAATGGTGAAATTTTAGTATAGATATTCTAAAGAATATTTTCCTATTGATTTATATGATATTTGTTTGCATTTCTGGAAATTTTAGTATGTAATTAAACTAGGCAAAAAATATTTTTTATTTTTATTTTAATTTTTTTTTTAATTTTTTTTAAATTTTATTTATTTATACAAGCACTGGGTATAGTCAGAAGTGTGGGTGGGTGAGAGAATTCACCAGAACCAGAGCGGGGAGCAGAGCAGGCAGAAGGACCGAAGTACACTGCTGAGGGGAGCAGCGGGTGGCAGAAGAGGTCTGCGCGCCATGTGGGACCCTCCCTCAGGTGGCCGGGGAGCAGCCGGGGATCAAACCGGCGCTGCAGAGGCTGCAGGCAGCTTCACAGCCCAGCGCTCAACCGCTGCGCCACCAGGGGAGGCCCTGTATTTTTATTTTTAAAGGAATAAGTTTCTAGTCTCGGATAATTATAAGCAGTGTTTTTTTGTTTTAACCTACATGAACATCCCATGGGACAGTCAAAATTTATGCAGGGCCATTTCTTCATTGTGTAACTGCCATTACACCATAGGATGGGCTAGCACCCTTTACTAAATATTAATAAATTCTCACTCCCAGCCATTGCTACAATCAAAAATACTTCCACAAATTTCCCAATGCCACATAAAAGGCGGTAATTACCCCCAGTGAGAACTACTGGGAGAGTGATGAACAGAAGAAATTTGCTGATAGATTCTTGAATAGAGAAAATGAAATAAATGTCACATTGAGAAATACTCTAAAAGTTGCTTTCCAGGAATGAGGTGTAGGTAAAGAAAGAATACAGAAGGAACTTCTACTATTAATTAAGTAATTTATTTATAGCAGCATGGTTTATAATGATCACCTTTGAATTTAGTATCGCCACCATTTTACAGATAATGCACAAACAGTTCAGAATGAAGTTATTTACTAAAATCATGTTAACAAAAGAGCTAGATTTGAGATCCAGATAATAGTTTTCAAACCCCATTATTTTCCTTAAATACTAAACTGTAGGATGATGAAGGTAAGGGGGAAAAAATTTAAGAAAAATATGAGATCCACAGGCAGCTAGAATTAGCAGGACTTTGACTGGACAGTTAAATAGAATTGTTGCAAACATCCTGAGAAGGTGACCAAAGCTTACTGTCAGAATGAGATTGTATTAATATATTCTCCCTTCTTATCCTTAGGAGATTAATATGCAAGTGAATGAAATAATGGCCAATGTGCAACGGATAATAAATCGCTACGCTGGTGGTGAAAGCATACACTCTGGGAGGAAAATCTCCATTACAGAACACAAAAGACGCAGAAATAGTTTTCTGGAAAAAATAGTACAATGTATTAAGTCTGCTGAAGTGACAGAAAAGACTCTTGTCTCCCTCCTGGCCTGGTTGGAAGAATGGAGTAAGTTTCTAGAAGTGGTCAAAGAAAAACCACAAAGTTACACTAGTGAAGAAAATTTTTAAGTAAAATTTGAAGGATTTATTACATTAAAGAGTACAAGACTAAGGAGGGTATTTAGAGAATAGGTTTCTTCTGTTCTAATAAGAATAAAATAAGAAAAATGTAGGTTTCCTCACATAGTGCCAGCTATTCTGGTCTCTTTGCTTGTCTTTATGTATGCCAGCATACTCCTGCCCAGTGCTTTTATACTTACAACTCCTTTGCCTGGAACATTGTCTACTAGGCCACCATGTGGCTTACTCTATGCTTATAACACTTTCAAATGAACTGTCTCTGACTATACCCATTCTGTAATCTCTGGCACTGTCCATTACTCTTTCTTTACTCTTCTTTATTTTGCCTATAAAATTTCTTACCACTAGAATCTAAGTATTATGAAGTCAGGAAATTATTTTTTTTTAAAGATTTATTTTTTATTTATTTATACAAGCACTGGGTACAGTCAGAAGCGCGGGAGGGTGAGAGAATTCACCAGAGCCAGAGCAGGGAGCAGAGCAGGCAGAAGGTCTGAAGCACACTGCTGAGGGGAGCAGCGGGCGGCAGGAGAGGTCTGCGCGCCATGTGGGACCCTCCTCTGGTGGCCGGGGAGCAGCTGGGGATCGAACCAGCGCTGCAGAGGCTGCGGGCAGCTTCGCAACCCAGCGTTCAACCGCTGCGCCACCGGGGAGGCCCAAAGTCACGGAATTTGTTTTATTCAATGTTTGTACCCTCGGTATCTCACAGTGCATGACAGAGGAGACAATGGTTGAATGAAAGAATAAGCTAAGAATATAAAAAAGAGGAATTTCACTTAGCTGTAAGAAATCTCACAGAGCAGGAATTATAAAATACTATATAACTTATCAAGGGCATTACATCCCTGATATTAAAACTCATGTTCATATTTTCATACTTCCTTGGAATAGTGAACTAAACTAGATAGACACCTATTAATCTGATTCATGTTTTCATGTCTAAGGCTTACTGTTCAGCTTTTTATTCCAAGTCTCTTCCTTTTTCACTTCTTCACAGAGAAATGCCTTGAAACAGCAGTTAAGTATGAGATTCCAATTTTCCCCAATAGTCCAATATTGAGGATTTAGTCAATTTTACAAGCCTATGCAGTTATATTTATTTTTCCACCCTGAAGTAATTTTTTTCCCTCTCATCAAGATAGCCTTTTGTCTGAGATGACTACAACTGATATTGGCGAATACCACCACTGCGTAGCACAAATGGAGATTTTACCAGAGACGTTCAAAACCATTGAAAACAATGTCACAATACTGACTAGAATTTGTAAATCTTTGCTCGAAGATAAGAGAAGACATAAGAGAAAAATAAGTAAGCTGCATTAAGACATTGGAAATAAATTTGACCTTTTCAATAAAGTGACTTTGTTGAGGTAGAATTTACATACTATAAAATTCACCCATGTTAAGTGTATAATTCAATGACTGAATTTTGAGTAAATTTAAAGCTGTGCAACTATCATCACCATCCAATTTTAGAATAATTCTGCCATCCTAAAAAGATCCCTGATGCCCACTGGCAGTCAGTCCTCATACCTCCCACTCCCCAGCCCTAGACAACCATAATCTATTTTCTGTCTCAGTATATTTGCCTCGTCTAGATACTTCATTATATGGAATCATATCTGTGGTCCTTCATAACTGGCTTCTTTCATTTAGCATAATGTTTTTGAGATTCAGCCATGCTATCAGATGTGTCCATACTTTTCTTCCTATTGTGGGTTGTGTATCATGTTTTATTTACCCATTCAGCAATTCATGGATATTTGGAGTGTTTCCATTTTTTGACTCTTAGGAATAATGCTGCTGTGAACACATGCATACAAGCATTTGTGTGGGCACATTTCCATTTATTTTGGGTAGATACTGAGGAGTAGAACTGCTAGGTCGTTTATGTATTGTTGGGAAATTTTTTAACTTTTCAAGAAATTGTTGACTGATTTCCCAAGTGACAATACCATTTACATTCCCATCAGCAGTGATTTAGGGTTCCAGTTTCTCCACATCTTCAACAGCACTTGTCATTATCTGTTTTTATTTTTATAACCTTTCTAATAAGTGTAAAGTCCTATCTCATTGTGGCTTTAAATTGTATTTACCTAATGACTAATGATGCTGAGCACCCTTTAATGTGATGTATCTTTTTTTATGGACTAGCTATTCAAATACTTCCCCTGGGGCCTCCCCGGTGGCAGCGGTTGAGCGCTGGGTTGCCAAGCTGCCCGCGGCCTCTGCTGCGCCAGTTTGATCCCCGGCTGCTCCCCGGCCACCGGAGGAGGGTCCCACATGGCGTGCAGACCTCTCCTGCCGCCCGCTGCTCCCTTCAGCAGTGTACTTGGGTCCTTCTGCCTGCTCTGCTCCCTGCTCTGGCTCTGGTGAATTCTCTCACCCTCCCGCGCTTCTGACTGTACCCAGTGCATGTATAAACGAACAAGCAAACAAACAAATAAATAAATAAATAAATAAATAAAAACATGCCTCGATAAAAAAAAAAACAAAAACAAAAACAAATACTTCCCCTGTTTTATTATTGAGTTGTAAAAGTTCCTTCTATGTTTGGGATATAGTCCTTTATTAGAAAAGTGACTTGCAAATATTTTCTCTCCGTCTGTGGCTCGTCTTTCATTTTCCTGTTGGTATATTTGAAGTCCAAATGTGTTAATTTTTATGAAGTCCAATCAACTTAACGATTTTTTCTTCTCTTATAAATCACAGTTTTAGTGTTACATTAAATATGTATATTAGTTTGGAAATAACTATCAAGAAGATGTGGTATATAATATACACACACATACACAATAGAATACTATTCAGCAATCAAAAAAGATAAACATGCCATTTGCAGCAATATGCATGGAGCTAGAATGGATTATGAAGGATTATGCTCAGTGAAATAAGTCAGAAGGAAAAAAGAGGGCCTCCCTGGTGGCACAAGGGGTATAAGGAACTCCCTGGTGGCACAAGGGGTTAAGACTCAGCCTATGAGGCTATCTGCAGCCACTGCAGCACGAGTTCAATCCCCAGCCTGGGAGCTACCCACATTGGCGCAGCAGACCTCTCCTGACTCATCCACTGCTCCCCTCAGCAGTGTATTTCAGTCGATCTGCCTGTTCTGTCCCCCACTATGTCTCTGGTGAATCCTCTCAACCTCCTGCTCCTCTGACCTACACCCCAGTTCTATGTGAAAATAAAAATTTAAAAAGAAACTACATTTTTAAAAATTTTATTTTATATATTTTTTACATCATTTTTCATTTTTGTACTACATGCAAAAGAATGAAGCCTGACTACTTCCTCACACCACGCACAAAAACCAACTCAAAATGGATTAAAGAACTAGACATAAGACCTGAAACCATAAATATATAGAAGAAAATATAGAAGGAATACTACATGACATACACCTCAGTAACATCTTTAAAGACACATCCCCCAAAGCAGTGATAGTGAAGAAAAAGATAAACAGCTGGAACTACATCAAATTAAAGAAATTACCATTTTTTTAAAAAGATTTTTATTTATTTATTTATGCAAGCACTGGGTATAGTCAGAGGTGTGGGAGGATGAGAGAATTCACCAGAGCCAGAGCGGAGAGTAGAACAGAGAGAGTGATGAAGTACACTGCTGAGGGGAGCAGCGGGCAGCAGGAGAGGTCTGCACGCCATGTGGGACACTTGCCCGGTGGCCGGGGAGCAGCCAGGGATCAAACCAGCGCTGCAGAGGCTGCGGGCAGCCTCGCAACCCAGCGCTCAACCATTGCGCCACCGGGGAGGCCCAGAAATTACCATTTTTAATTCCCACTAGCAACAAGAGTTCCTGTTGCTCCATACACTTGCCAGCATTTGTTATTATCATTTTTTATTTTTTTAAAGATTTATTTATTTATTTATACAAACACTGGGTACAGTCAGAAGCGTGGGAGGGTGAGAGAATTCACCAGAGCCAGAGCGGGGAACAGAACAGGCAGACTGATGAAACACACTGCTGAGAAGAGCAGAGGGCACGACAGGAGAGGTCTGCGCGCCATGTGGGACCCTCGCCAGTGGTTGGGGATTGAACTGGCGCTGCAGAGGCTGTAGGCAGCTTCGCAGTCCAGTGCTCAACCGCTGCGCCACCAGGGGAGGCCCTATTATCATTTTTTTAATTTTAGCTATTCTGATGAGTATAATAGTATCTCATTATAATTTGCAATTCTGTAATGAAAAATGATATTGAACATTTTTTCATATGCTTACTTGCCATTTATCTTATTTCTTACCTTCATTTTAAAAATAAGAGTTGTACATGTATGTTGTATAAACACTTTGAAAAGAATGTTTGAAAACACATAAATAAATATGGATATCTAAGTGTTTACTGCAAGTTACTTTGACAGGAGTGTTATTTCAATGAATGTTTGTAGTAACCCTTCTGTATTATATTTAGGGAATTATTTTTTTTTAATCATAGTTACTTTTTTTTTTAAGATTTATTTATTTATGCATACAAGAACTGGAGTACAGGCCAGGGTAGCGGGGGGTGAGATGATTCACCAGAGACAGAATGGGACACAAAACAAGTAGACTGACTTAAATACACTGCTGAGGGGAGCAGCAGGCGAGACACGAGAGGATTGCTATGCCATGTGTCACCTCCCTGGCCAGGGATCGAACTTGTGCTGCAGAGGCTGCGGATAGCTTCACAGTGCTGTGTCTTAACCCCTTGCACCACCAGGGAGGCCCTATCTTTTTTTTAAAGATTTATTTATTTATACATACAAGAGCTGGGGTGTAGGCTAGAGGTGTTGAGAGTGGTGAGAGGATTCACCAGAAACAGAATGGGGAGCAGAACAGGAGGATCTACTGAAATACACTGCTGAGGGGAGCAGTGGGCCAGATAGGAGACGTCTGCTGTGCCATGGGGGGTCGGCTTCCTGGCTGGGGATCAAACTATTGCTGCAGTGGCTGCTGATAGCTTCATAGTGCTAAGACTTAACTCCTTGCGTCACCAGGGAGGCCCCATTTGTGTATCTTTACATGCTTCTTTTATGTCAAAAATTGGACATTTTAGATAATATAGCAACTCTGGATTTTGATTTTTCCCTACAACTTTCAGGATTTGTTTTTGTTATATTTTTGGTTTGTTTTTTAGTGACTTGCTGACTAGTTCTGTGTAGTATGTAATCCCCCACAGTATACAGCATATGATACCTGTCTAGTTAGTATTTTTCCTTTTTTCTAGTTGTTTTTTATGTTTCTGAAATCCTAGGGGTCACCTTTGGGTCAGCATAGCTTAGTGTCAGTGAATGATTATTCGATCACTGATCGAATAAGCTTTTACTCTTTACAGATCGATCTGTGTATGGGTTAAAGAAATATCACTTTAGATAATGTGCGTATGTATGAGTTTTTCCATCCTTCTTATAAGTCCTCTCAGGGCAGTAAAGCTGTCAGTAAGTTCTCACAACTTGTCTTACTCTGGTACAACTACCTGTTCAGGGGCTGGGGAGTTAGATAAAAGAGCTCCATGCTAAAATGTCATAGATTTCCACTCTTAATGCTGAGGTTGAGCATTTTCTTGAATAAATGTTTCTCAATTTGTTGTATGCCTTTGGTCAATTTCCAAAGTACTAACATGTTTTTTTTTGGAAGCTTTGCCCAGTTTTTTTTTGTTGTTGTTTTTAATTTTATTTTTATATTCCCTATACCATTGCAACCACCTTATTTTGACCTCAATCCCTCCTTTCCCTGCCCCCCCCATAGTGTGTCTCTGGTTCATAGTTGTTTGTTGATTTTGATTTTTTCTTTCTTTAGTTATTCTTTTTTCGGGTCCCTTATTTAGATTTTCTAGATTCCTGCTATGAGCGAGACCATCCGGTATTTTTCTTTTTCTTTCTGGCTTATTTCACTGAGCATGATCCCTTCCAGCTCCATCCATGTTGCTGCAAATTGCACGTGTTTATCTTTTTTGAAGGCTGAGTAATATTCCATGGTGTATATGTACCACATGTTCTTGATCCAGTCATCTATTTTTGGGCATTTGGGTTGTTTCCAAAGTTTTATCTTACTTTTGGGAGGGGGGAGATTGCTGCATTTCCCACTCAACCATTCTAAAAATTCCTTCAAATGCTTACCTTTTGTTTGTTTGTTTGTGACCATTTTGAAAAAAACCAAGATTAACTCTGAATCAGAAAAGACAGAAAAGAAAAGCAGGAACCCAAGAAAGAAAATGGTAATTCAAACATAATCAAAGCCAAAGGAAAGTTTTGACTTACATTTCTTAATCTCAAACTTGTTACTGAATGTAAATCACAGTCACATTCCTAACTTCTGGAAGCAGAAGTTCTAAGTGAATGGAAAAAGAATCATTCTTTAAAAAAAAAAAAAAAAAGCTAGTTATTTTGTAACCAAAGCTTTCTGATGAATCTTTAACTTATCTATAAATTGAGGATAAATTCCTTAGGCTTAAGCATAGACAGAGCACAATACAAAAGAAGAAATGCAATACCATTTTTTTTTTCTTCCAGCAATTAGAGGTACTCTATGGAAACCTTGGAAAGAAAGAGTTATAAAGCGACCTGCAGCAGCCCATGCTTTAAAACCAGATCAGATGATTAGTGATGAATTTACAACATCTACAAAGATTTCAGAAATCCATGATATGCTACAAGAACTCATAGGCACTTCAATGTTCAGTAAATTAGAAAATAATGCTATTAAATATATATCATCAACAATATCAAACCTTTCTAAAGCTTTGCGTATACTAAATGATGAAATAAAAAGTGTTAACATCCAAAGTGACAATGTATATGTAGAAGAGGAAGTTGAAAAAGAAAAAGACCTACTCCTGAAGATGATAAAAGATCTCAGTGAAAATAATGAAATACTTAAGCAGAAACTTCAAATTGCAGAAGAAAACTATGAAAAACTTATTCAAACCAAAAGTGCTATAGAATACCAAACACTGTCTGGATCAAATTTGAAAGTGTTACCTGAGTCTGCTCCACAGTCATCCATGGGCACTAGGAAAACTGACAAAAGAGAGAGTACAGACATCACATCGGTCAAACAACTTGACAATATAGATGAGGCCCAAAGAAGAGAGACTAAAATCTCTGGTATCAAGTGGGACACAGCTTTTTCACATACATCCACAGATGAAATGGCTCCAGATTTAATTGACCGGCAATCCATTTTACAGAAAACATCTTCCCATGCTATCACCAAAGACAGCACTGAAGACATGAAATCATTGAAGAAAGGGTATGTCTCTGAGAAAGATAGAGCTGATCAGCTTCAATCACAGAAAAGAAAGGAAAAGAGAGCCCAATATGTACATGAGATGTTTGGATCAAATCTGAGTGATAATAAAGGTGAACAGAAAGACTCAAGAACCAAATTTGATCAACACCTGGAGTTACAATCCCTGGAAAAGAAGAGAAAGGAAGTAAAATCCTATTATGAAGACAAATCAAAGTTACCTGAGTCAAAAAGTAAATTTTTTCCTGATGAAATTCTTTCTACCGATGTCCCTTCCACTTACACCAAGAGTGAAGCTGGCAGAGGTGCAACAAGTAATTTGTGGGAACGGCTCAAGACAGCCAAACTTGAACGTCAACTTGACAAAAGCCAAGTTTCTTCAGAGAAAAAAGAGGAACTCACTTCTGAGTCAATGGACAGCGAGAGAACAAGTGGGATGAGTAGCCAAGCAGGGCCATTCATGTCGACCCAACTTGATTCTTTCTCTGAGAAAGAGAAAACAAAAGGAAAGAAGGTCCAAGTCTCCCCAAGGACAAGCACAGGCAGAGAAGGAAAAACTGAAGAGAAAGACCTATCAGGTCTCACCAAGAAAGTCAAGCCTCATGAAGTTCGTAAATCACTATCTCAGAAACTTAAAGAGGCTTCAGAATCTACCAGCGTTCTAAAAAGTCCAGAGGGCAAAAGTGAACAGAGTAATGTAGAGGAATTTCAGAAAGCCATAATGACTTTCCTAACAGAGAAAATTGATAACATAGGAAAGCCTTTGGATAAAAAAACTGTGCCAAAAAAAGAGTTATTAAAAAGAACAGAATTTGAAAATGTGGGAGTCATAAAAACAAAAATGGAGGAATATTTTCAAAAAGTGGCAGAAACTGTGACAGAAGTCTTGAGAAAATACAAACATATGAAAAAAACAGGAGAGTTGACAAAGAAACCTATACAGGGGAAAAAGGAAGTCTCACATAAGCCAGAAATGCATTTTCAGAAGCCAATTAGTGAAACGTCTGAAATTAGAACCTTACTCTCGCCATATGAAAGCATGGACCCAGTAGCTGGCAATTTAATACAAATGATCTTAGCTGAAATAGAAAGTGAAAGAGATGTTACAGTAGCCTCAACAATAGAGACAGACCAGAAGAAGAAAAAACAAAGGCAAGAGGATTATTTGCAAGAGGATGAAGAACAAAAAAATGGTCACAAATCAAGTCTCAAATCCCAGTTGCAGGAAGTAAGTAACCTCCGGGGAAAGAGCCATGAAATGATGAATTTGGAGTTGGAAGATACACGGTTCCAGATGAAGGAGGGAAAGCAAAGGCAACAGAAACAGAAACAGTGGCAGGAAAAGGAGTTGGAGAAGGAACAACAAAAGGAGAGGATGCAAAAGCAAAGGGAAAAGGAGGAAGAACAGCATCAGAAGTCAGAGCAGCAGCAGCTGGAAGCAGGGAAGCAAAAAAGGCAAGAGGACGGGGTTCTGCTGGAGAAGGCACAGCAGATGAGGTGGGTTCAGAAGAAAATGAGACATATGGAGAAGGAAAGCAGCTGGGAGAAACTGGAGGAAGACCAGAAGTCAAAGAAAAAGGTAGAGGGCCATGGAAGGCAGAAGCAAAAAGAAGCAATGGATCAGATTAGGATTAAGAAGGAAAAATCTGAATCAGAATACACAGTCTCAAAAACTTCAGAAACAGTGTCTCCCAGAGGGGAAACACAGACGGACATATCCCAGTTATATCAGAGAAATGAGCCCGAAGGGAATCTTAGGACAATAGAGATAATTGCTGATGGAAAGCCCCCCAAAACAATCGCTCCTTCCTCTTTCAAACAATCCTTCCCATCTGGGGCCACTTCTACTTATGGACAGAACATCTCACTCACCCCTGAACAGGCCCAGGCACTGGGAATCATTCTTACCCCTGAGCAGGCCCAGGCACTGGGGATCACTCTCATCCTTCAGCAGGCCCAGGCACAGGAGGTCAGTCTCATCCCTCAGGAAGCCCAGGCTCAGGGGATCAGTGTCACCCCTCAGCAGACTTTCTCTTCTCAGAAAGAATGGGCATTGGGCAATACCCCAATCTCTCAGATGTCTCAAGGTTTGGGAGTACCCCATACAAATGAGCAGGCAGAGATATTTGAAGTGCCTGTTATCCAAGGAGAGATCAAAGCACAAGAGATCACTCTCACCCCCGAGGAGGTCCAATCACAGGGAATCACTGTCACTCATGAGCAGGTGCTGGAGATCACTCTCACCCCTGAGCAGACCCAGGCCCAGGGGGTCACATTCAACCCTCAGCAGGCCCAGGAGATCAGTCTCACCTCTAAGCAGGTCCAGGACCAGGGGATCACACTCACCCCTCAGCAGGCCCCGGGGGTCACTCTCACCCCTCAACAGGCCCAGGCCCAGGCGATCACTCTTACTCCTCAGCAGGCCCAGGCCCAGGGGATCACTCTTACTCCTCAGCAGGACCAGGCCCAGGGGGTCACTCTCACCCCTGAGCAGGCCCAGACCCTGGGAATCACACTAACTCCTCAGCAGGTCAAGGCCCACGGGGTCACTCTTACTCCTCAGCAGGCCCAGGCCCTGGGGATCACCCTTACTCCTCAGCAGGCCCAGGCCCATGGGGTCACTCTCACCCCTCAGCAGGCCCAGGCCCAGGGAATCACTGTCACCCCTCGGCAGGCTCAGGCCCAGGGGATCACTCTTACTCCTCAGCAGGACCAGGCCCAGGGGGTCACTCTCACCCCTGAGCAGGCCCAGACCCTGGGAATCACACTAACTCCTCAGCAGGTCAAGGCCCAGGGGATCAGTCTCACCCCAGAGCAGGCCCAGGCCCAGGGGGTCACTCTTACTCCTCAGCAGGCCCAGGCCCACGGGGTCACTCTTACTCCTCAGCAGGCCCAGGCCCTGGGGATCACCCTTACTCCTCAGCAGGCCCAGGCCCATGGGGTCACTCTCACCCCTCAGCAGGCCCAGGCCCAGGGAATCACTGTCACCCCTCGGCAGGCTCAGGCCCAGGGGATCACTCTCACCCCTGAGCAGGCCCAGGCCCAGGGGGTCACTCTCACCCCTGAGCAGGCCCAGGCCCAGGGGGCCACTCTCACCCCTCAGCAGGCTCAGGCCCAGGGAATCACTGTCACCCCTCAGCAGGCCCTGGCCCAAGGGGTCACTCTCACCCCTCAGCAGGCCCAGGCCCTGGGAATCACACTCACCCCTGAGCAGGCCCATGCCCTGGGGGTCACTCTCACCCCTCAACAGGCTCAGGCCCTGGGGATCACTCTTACTCCTCAGCAGGCTCAGGCCCAGGGGATCACTCTCACCCCTCAGCAGGCTCAGGCCCTGGGAATCACACTCACCCCTGAGCAGGTCCAGGCCCAGGGGATTAGTCTCACCCCTAAGCAGGCCCAGGACCAAGGGATCACACCCTTCCCTCAGCAGGCCCTAGGGATCACTCTCACCCCTGAGCAGGCCGAGGCCCAGGGGGTCACTCTCACCCCTCAACAGGCCCAGGCCCTGGGGATCACTCTTACTCCTCAGCAGGCTCAGGCCCAGGGGATCACTCTCACCCCTCAGCAGGCTCAGGCCCTGGGAACCACACTCACCCCTGAGCAGGTCCAGGCCCAGGGGATTAGTCTCACCCCTAAGCAGGCCCAGGACCAAGGGATCACACTCATCCCTCAGCAGGCCCTGGGGATCACTCTCACCCCTGAGCAGGCTGAGGCCCAGGGGGTCACTCTCACCCCTCAACAGGCCCAGGCCCTGGGGATCACTCTTACTCCTCAGCAGGCTCAGGCCCAGGGGATCACTCTCACCCCTCAGCAGGCTCAGGCCCTGGGAATCACACTCACCCCTGAGCAGGTCCAGGTCCAGGGGATCAGTCTCACCCCTAAGCAGGCCCAGGACCAAGGGATCACACCCTTCCCTCAGCAGGCCCTGGGGATTACTCTCACCCCTGAGCAGGCCGAGCCCCAGGGGGTCACTCTCACCCCTCAACAGGCCCAGGCCCTGGGGATCACTCTTACTCCTCAGCAGGCTCAAGCCCAGGGGATCACTCTCACCCCTCAGCAGGCTCAGGCCCTGGGAATCACACTCATCCCTCAGCAGGCCCTGGGGATCACTCTCACCCCTGAGCAGGCTGAGGCCCAGGGGGTCACTCTCACCCCTCAACAGGCCCAGGCCCTGGGGATCACTCTTACTCCTCAGCAGGCTCAGGCCCAGGGGATCACTCTCACCCCTCAGCAGGCTCAGGCCCTGGGAATCACACTCACCCCTGAGCAGGTCCAGGTCCAGGGGATTAGTCTCACCCCTAAGCAGGCCCAGGACCAAGGGATCACACTCATCCCTCAGCAGGCCCTGGGGATCACTCTCACCCCTGAGCAGGCTGAGGCCCAGGGGGTCACTCTCACCCCTCAACAGGCCCAGGCCCTGGGGATCACTCTTACTCCTCAGCAGGCTCAGGCCCAGGGGATCACTCTCACCCCTCAGCAGGCTCAGGCCCTGGGAATCACACTCACCCCTGAGCAGGTCCAGGCCCAGGGGATTAGTCTCACCCCTAAGCAGGCCCAGGACCAAGGGATCACACCCTTCCCTCAGCAGGCCCTAGGGATCACTCTCACCCCTGAGCAGGCCGAGGCCCAGGGGTCACTCTCACCCCTCAACAGGCCCAGGCCCTGGGGATCACTCTTACTCCTCAGCAGGCTCAGGCCCAGGGGATCACTCTCACCCCTCAGCAGGCTCAGGCCCTGGGAATCACACTCACCCCTGAGCAGGTCCAGGTCCAGGGGATCAGTCTCACCCCTAAGCAGGCCCAGGACCAAGGGATCACACTCATCCCTCAGCAGGCCCTGGGGATCACTCTCACCCCTGAGCAGGCTGAGGCCCAGGGGGTCACTCTCACTCCTCAGCAGGCTCAGGCCCAGGGGATCACTCTCACCCCTCAGCAGGTCCAAGCTCTGGGAATCATACTTACCCCTCAGCAGGCCCAGGCCCAGGGGATAACTCTGCTCCCTGAGCAGGCCCAGGTCCCAGAGATCACTGAGACCCCTCAGCAGGCCCAGGTTCTGGGGATCAGTCTCACCCCTAAGCAGGCCCAGGACCAGGGGATCACACTCTCCCCTCAGCAGGCCCCAGCCCAGGGACTCATAATCACCCCTGAGCAGGCCCAGGCCCAGGGGGTCACTGTCACCCCTCAGCAGGCCCAGGGGATCACTCTGACCCCTGAGCAGGCCCAGCCCCAGGAGATAATTCTGACCCCCGAGCAGACCCAGGCCCTGGGGATCACTCTAACCCCCCAGCAGGCCCAGGCCCAGGTGATGACTCTCATCCCTCAGCAGGCCCAGGCCCGAGGACTCACTCTCACCCCTCAGGAGGCCCAGGGGCTCATTCTCACCCCTCAGCAGGCCCAGGCCCAAGGGCTCACTCTCACCCCTGAGCAGGCCCAGGCCCAGGGGGTTACTCTCACCCCTCAGCAGGGCCAGGGGGTCACTCTCACCCCTCAACAGGCCCAGGTCCAGGGGATTCCTCTTACCCCTCAGCAGGCCCAGGGGATCACTCTCACCCCTCAGCAGGGCCAAGGGTTCATTCTCACCCCTCAGCAGGCCCAAGCCCAGGGGATCACTCTCACCCCTCAGCAGGCCGGAACCCAAGGGATCACCCTTACCCCTCAGCAGGCCCAGGGGATCACTCTCACCCCTCAGCAGACCCAAGCCCAGGAGATCCCTCTCACCCCTTACCAGGCCCGGACCCAGGGGATTACAATCATCCCTGATCAGGCCCAGGTCATGGAGGTCACTCTCACCCCTCAGCAGGCCCAGTTGATCACTCTGACCCCTGATCAGTCTCAGGCTCAAGCCCAGGGGATCACTCTCACTTCTGAGCAGGTCCAGCCCCGGGGGATCACTCTCACCCCTGAGCAGGCCCAGGCCCTAGGGATCACACTCACCCCTGAGCAGGCCCAGGCCCAGGGGATCACACTCACTGCTGAGCAGGCCCAGGCCATTGGGATCACTCTTACTCCTCAGGGCCAATGGGTCACTCTCACCCCTCAACAGAGGCAGGCTCAGGGGACCACACTCATCACTGAGCAGGTGCAGGCCCAGGGAATCACTCTTACCCCTCAGCAGAGTCAGGCACTGGGGATACCTCTCAGCTCTCGCCAGGTCCAGAAACCGGGAATCACTCTTACTCCCAAGGGAGCACCAACACTCAGAATCACTGTCCCTCCTCAGCAGTCACAGACACGGGGCGTATCTGACTCCTCAGAGCAGTTCACTCCTGAACAAGTTCAGACATTGGGGCCTCCTCTTACTTCTGATCTGACTCAGTCAATGGAGGTCTCTCTTACCCCTAAGCATACCCAGTTAATGCGAGACCTTCTTATTCGAGAACAGGCACCACAGGAACCAGTGTTCACTCGCACTTCTGAGAAATCCGAGATTTTGGGTATCACACTTAGTCATGAGCAAGCCCAGGCAGTGGGTACCTCCCTCACCCCTGAGCACACACAAGCATTGAGGGTCCCTCTCACCCTTGACCAGGCTCAGGCATTACAGTCCCCTCTCACTTTAGAACAGACATGGAAATTGGGTGTTCCTATCACTCCAGAAGTGGTTCAAGAAGTATCAAGCACTCTTACTTCTAAGCAGATGCAAGCACGGAGAGTGCCTTCCTCTCATGAGCAGGCTCAGGCATTTGGCACTCCTTTCACTCCAGATCAGGCCCAGGCATGGGGAATTCCCCCCACTCCAGAAAATGCTTTGGCATCAGTTGTCACTCTTACCCCTGAACAGATCCGGACTTTGGGACTCCCTCTCACTTCAGATAAATCCCATGCCTTAGACTTTTCCCTCAGATCTGAGCAAGTTCAACCATTGGGAGTCCCATTTGCGCCAGAACAGACTCAGCCTATGGGTAGTCTTATGTCTGAGCAGCACCTAAAGTCGAGACCACCCCTCATTGATGAGCAATTCTTACAACCCTGGGTCCCTTCAATTCTTCAACCATTTAAAGAATCAAAGACTTCTCTCCCAGCTAGGCATCCCAGTCCATCAAGTCCTGGGCAGGCCCTGGCATCATCTGCTCCTATTGCTGAGAAACCCTCTAGATTTGAGGTCTCTACTACTACTTTGCAGGCGTCAGGGTTTCCTCTTCCCCAAGCCCCCTTTGATCCTGGGAAATTACAAGGAACTAGGATTCCTTCTGATTCTGGGAAGCTTCTGGGGCCACAGACTTTCCCTTTCTCTGGACAGACCCTGGTTTCTAAAGGCCAACCCACATCTTTGCAAGCTCCCAGTACCGGGAAGCTCCCTAAACCAGGAGTCCCTCAAACTCCAGAGAAGCCCCTTGTACTAGAGTCCCTTAAGTCTAGGCAGTTCCTCTTATCTAAGGATACCCTGACTCCCCAGCCACCTCTGATATCAAAGGTTCCTCTTGTCCCTGGCCAGTCCTTCATATCTGGAGTCCAACCCACCTCTAAACAAGTTCCTGGTCTCTGGTCTTCTCTCTCTCCTAGGCAGCCCTTTGTTCCTGGGGCTTCTTCCATTGCTAAGGAGCTCCTAGAATCTGAAACCTTAACCCTCTCTGAGCAGCTTCAGGCATTTCAGCCCTCTATCACCTCTGAGCAATTTCCCTATATACAACCCTCTTCCACCCTTGGGCAGCATCAGTTACCATGGACTCTTTCTGGTCAAGCTTCCCCGCTATGGATCCCTCCCATTCCTGGGCATGCCCCAACAATAGGGGCCCCTGTACCCCCTGGAAAGCCCAAGAAAAGTCTGTCCTCTAATATCCCTCAGAGAAGTAAAAGATTGGCTATTTCTTCTCTGACATCTAAATCAGCACTTGTCCACCCCATTGCTACAAAATTTAAGGCACCTCAAGCCCCCTCCATCATTAAGAAGTTGCCAATGTCAGAGGTCTCTGACACTCCTGCAGAAATCCAAAGACTCGCTGATCCTTTTACCATGGAACGATTTAAAACACTTCAGTCCTCTGTCACTAGTTATAAGATACCAGTATCACAAACCCCTTACATTGATGGTGAGGTTCGTCTCACTCTCAGGAAGTCTATAACATCGTTACCTTCTCTGACTACTCAACTACCCCAAATCTCACCTTCTGAATTGGACCAAAAATCCCGATTTCCCCCTATAGACAAGTCCTGGATACTGACATCAGTTTTAGGCACCAAGAAACCCAAAGTAATGGTGCCCCCTTCCTCTCCCCAAGAACTCAAAGAACAGAGATATTTTGTTGATGTGGAGGCTCAGAGGAAAAACCTGATACTCTTAAATGAGGCCATGAAAGCGTCTGGACTCTCTTCACAACTATATACAACAGCTGAGAATCTCATAATTGAGACACTTCATACGGACAAAATTCGGTTGGGATACATATTCAACAAGTACATTGCCTATAGGCTGATCCAGCGTGCAAGGTAGATGTAACTTCTGTATGTTCAGTTTTCTGATTTACTACTGACTTCTAATATCCTCCCTCATTGCCTATGAGTATATTCATATTCATCACATAACATGATCTAAAAGATTCGCTTCTAGAGGGTCTGTGGGTTGGAAACCTATTCTAAAAAGCAAAAGAAGATATTTTTAGGAAATAAGAAATGTCCATAGCATGATCCATTTCATTCATTTTTATCTCTAGCAGAGATAATTATGAATCATGGTTGATCTTCAAAACATCAACTTCAGAAGTTTTGAGACGCTTAAGTTATTCTGAAATGAATTTTTTAAATGGGAAGTGGTTGATTATGTGCAAGGTATTGCTGTGGCAATTGTGCTACTGGAATAACCTGGAGGAAACAGGTACTGGTACTGATTTTTAAAAATTGCTAATATCAGACCTATGTCAGGAAAAGTGAACAACTGGCTTGCCATTGTTAGTATTTATATTTGAGGTTACCAATATAATTTCTGGGAAATTTTTAAACCTATATTTACAAAAAATGAAACCAAAACTATAATAGAAAAGGTTATCATTAATTACAGGAATAATATGTCATTTATTCAATAATATTTATTGAATGTGCACAATAGTTCCAGATGTAGGGATGCAGTAGTGAATAAAACAAAGTACCCTGTTCTCATGAAATTTACATTTTTTTTTAAAGATTTATTTATTTATACAAGCACTGGGCACAGTCAGAAGCACAGGAGGGTGAGAGAATTCACCAGAGCCAGAGTGGGGAGCAGAGCAGGCAGAAGGACCGAAGCACACTGCTGAGGGGAGCAGCGGGCGACAGGAGAGGTCTGCACGCATGTGGGACCCTCCTCCGGTGGCTGGGGAGCAGCCGGGGTGGCCGGGGAGCAGCTGGGGATCGAACCGGCGCTGCAGAGGCTGCGTGCAGCTTCGCAACCCAGCGCTCAACCGCTGCGCCACCAGGGAGGCCCGAAATTTACATTTTTGAGGAGTAAATTTTTTTTTTTTGAAGTACCACTATTTTATATCCTTGTTCATTTTTTTTCACAACAAAGAATTTCTCCCCTCAAATGTGATCACTATAGTTATCCCACCACCAATGCACCCACAGTCCTCACTCCCCTTTTTTCTCCCTTGAGGAGTAAATTTATTTGAGAACTAAGGATTGGACCAAGAAACATAATACTTATCCAAGATTAACCAGAACTTTTAATGTTAAAGCTTAAGTAACCTGAGATTGTTGGAAATGTTTTACTCTATACCTGTCCTTAGTTTTTGCTTTTTTTTTTTTAAGATTTATTTATTTATTTATGCATAGAAGAACTAGGGTAGGGGGTGTTGAGAGAATTTACCAGAGACCGAGTGGGGAGCAGAACAGGCAGATTTACTGAAATACATTGCTGAGGGGAGCAGTGGGCAAAACAGGAGAGGTGTGCTGCACCACATGTGGGTCACCTCTCTGCCTGGGGATTAAACTCAGACTGCAGAGGTGATAGTGCTAAGACTAAACCCCTATGCCACGTGGAAGGCCCAGTTTTCTCTTTCCGAAGTGAATGTTACTAGTCATTTACATCTGTTCTTACATGTAAAACATTTTACCTACTTGAGAATTTTATCATGTTCCTGGTCATTCTTCAGTTCCTTAGTGTCTTTTTTCCTTTGCTATATTTAAGTTAAAAAAATAAGTAGTACACCTGGTACACTTAAAAAAAATACAAATGGTAAATGGTAGAGTGAAAATTTTCCTTATTCCTACTCATATCCCTGGTTATTAGGCCCTCCCCCAGGGTTACTAATGTATGTTCACCTAGAAAAGTTTTCTGCATAAGTATACAAAGTACATATATGATTTATCTTCCTTTTTATCTATTTTAAACACTTAAAACATTTCATTTTTTCATAACTCAATGTAGATATTAGGTATTAGATAACAGTAATTAGCATATAAGAGCCTACTAATTCATTTTATAGCTTCATAGTATTACAAAGCCTAGATTTATCAGAATTTACTTAGGCTCTGATGGATATTTATGTCATTTTCAATATTTTGATTAATAAAAATATACTTCAATGAACAAGCTGCTAGATGAGTATGTAGATACATGTGTATATGTCTTAAAGTAGAATTTTGGGACAAAGGTGTTTGGTAATTTTGATAGATTTTTGACAATTTTTTCCAAAGATGATGTAACAATTTACATATTTGATTATCTTTATAGAAGTATTTTCCCACATGGAGACTGATACAAAGTATTACCAATTTGTTCAGCTTGTTTTTTTGGTTTTTTTTTTTTAAAGATTTATTTATTTATTCATACAAGCACTGAGTATAGTCAGAAGCGAGGGAGGGTGAGAGAATCCACCAGAGCCAGAGCAGGGAGCAGAACAGGCAGAAGGACCGAAATACACTGCTGAGGGGAGCAGTGAGTGCTGCAGGAGAGGTCTATGCGAGGGACCTGTGGCGGGGGATCAAACTGGTCCTGCAGAGGCTGCGGGCAGCTTCGCAGCCCAGCGCTCAACCACTGCGCCACCGGGGAGGCCCTATTTGGCTTGTTTTTTTATTATGGGTGAGGTTAAAGATCATGTCATAGCCTTCAGAGTCATCTGATATTCATAGAAAACTCTAAAAAAACCTATCAGAAACAACAAATGAGTTCAGTAAAGTGTCAGGCTACAAAAATCAATTTACAAAACTCTTTTGTGTTTCTATGTACAAACAATGAACTAGAAGACAAATCAAGAAAATACTTCCATTCCAATTGCATTAAAAAAAATAAGTACTTAGGCATAAACTTAACAAATGAGGTGAAAGACCTGTACAATAGAAATCGTGAGATATTGTTAAAAGAAAATAGAAGGCAGCATGAGATGTTAAGATATCCCATACTCATGGATTGGAAGAATTAACATTATTAGATATTTATTAAATTAAACATTATTAAAATGATCATCCTACCCAAAGCAATATACAGATTCAATGCAATCCTTATCAAAATTCTGATGGCATTCTGGAAGGAAATAGAACAAACATTACTAACCACAAAAGACCCCAAATAGCCAAAGTAATCCTGAGGGGAAAAAAAAAGAATGGAGATATCGCACTCTCTAACCCCAGACTACTTGAAAGTGATAGTAATCAAAACAGTATGGTTTGGGATAAAAATAGACACGCATCAATGGAACAGAATTAGAGCCCAGAAAATAACCCACATTATATGGACAGATCATTTACAACAAAAAGGAGCCAAGAGCATACAATGGAAAAAGGAAAATCTCTTCAGCAAATGGTGCTGGGGAAACCAGACAGCCACATACAAAAAATTGACACTAGACCACAATCCCACACCATATACAAAAAATAATTCCAAATGTATTGAAGACTCGGATATAAGATCTGAAACCACAGAATACATGGAAGAAAACATAGGTGAGATACTCAAAGATGATGACATTGATCTTAAAGATATCTTTGGGGTCTTAACTCCAACAGCAGGGGAAACAAAAGGAAAAATAAGCAACTGAGACTATATCAAAATAAAAATCTTCTGCACAGCAAAAGGAAATCTATCACCAAAAGAGATCCTACTGATTGGGAGAAAATATTTTCTCATCATATATGCAACAAAAGATATATATCCAAGATATATAAAGAACTTTATATAAAATATATGAAGAACTCACATAACTCAACAACAACAAAACCCCACAAATAACTCAATCAGGGCCTCCCTGGTGGCGCAGCGGTTGAGCACTGGGTTGTGAAGCTGCCCCCAGCCTCTGCAGCGCTGGGTCGATCCCCGGCTGCTCCCCGACCACCGGAGGAGGGTCCCACATGGGGCGCAGACCTCTCCTGCCGCCCACTGCTCCCCTCAGCAGTTTACTTCGGTCCTTCTGCCTTCTCTGCTCCCCGCTCTGGCTCTGGTGAATTCTCTCAACCTCCTGCGCTTCTGACTGTACCCAGTGCTTGTATGTATGTATGTATCAATCAATCAATAAATAAATCTTTAAAAAAAAAACTCAATCAAAGAATGAACAGATATGAATAGATACTTCTCCAAAGAGGACGTATGATAACCAACAGGATCATCACCACTTACTTTCCAGGAAATGCAGATCAAAACCACAAAGAAATGTCACCCTGCACCTGTGAGAATGAGCTATATCAAAAAGACTAGAAACAAGTGTTGGTGAAGGTGTGGAGGAAAAGAAAACCTTGTACACCATTGGTGGAAATGTAAATTGGTGCAACCACTATGGAAAATAGTATGACAGTTCCTTAAAATTCAAAAAAATATATCTACTGTACTTCTAGGTATTTATCAAAGATTATTAAAATAGGGATTCCCTGGTGGCCTAGGTGTTACGCCTCAGCACTACCATCTACATGGTCCACCTTGATGGCCTGAGTTCCATCCCTGGTCAGAAAGCTAACCTACATGGTGCAGCAGATTTCTCCTGCTTTGCCTACTGCTCCTCTTAGCAGTGTATTTCAGTAGATCTGCCTGTTTGCTCCCCACTCTATCTTACCTCCCCCACTTCTGGCCTATACCCCAGTTCTTCTAAGCAAAAATAAATAAAATCTTTTAAAAAATTATTAAAATACTAATTCAAAAAGATATATGCACTCCCATACTCATTGCGGCACTGTTTACAAAAGCCAAAATACGAGGACAACTAAAGTGCACAATGACTGATGAATGGATAAAGAAAATGTGGCATATATACACAATGGAATACTACTCAGCTATAAAAACAAAAACAGATTAAATCACGTTATTTGCTACAACATGGATAGAACTTGCAGGGATTATGCTACGAGGAAATAAGTCAGAAGGAGAAACACGTTGCTATTTAAATTGACTTGTGGGGTCTGTTTAAATATTTGGAAAGTTAGGGGCCTCCCTGAAGGTACAGGGGTTAAGTCTCAGTGCTATCAAGCTATGGCCAGCCACTGCAGCACGAGTTCAATCCCAGCCAGGGAGCTACCCACATGGAGCAGCAGACCTCTCCTGTCTTGTCTGCTGCTCCCCTCAGCAGTGTATTTCAGTAGATCTACATGCTCTGCTCTCCACTTTGTCTCTGGTGAATCCTCTCACTGCCCCCACCTCTGGTCTCCACCCCAGTTCTTGTATGCATAAATAAATACAAACAAACCTTTAAAAAATATTTGGTAAGTTAGACTTTTGTCTGTGATATAAAATTGCAAAATTTCCCTTGCTTATTTGTTTTGACTCTGCTTTTGGTGGGTTTTGCCTTGTAAAATTCTTTTTATTTTTATATGTTCACACGACTATTTTATTTTTTAAAGATTTATTTATTTATGCATACAAGAGCTGGGGTACAGGCCAGAGATGCAGGGGGTGAGAAGATTCACCAGAGACATAGTGGGGAACAGAACAGGCAGATTGGCTAAAGTACACTGCTGAGGGGAGCAGCGGACCAGTCAGAAGAGGTCTGCTGAGCCATGTGGGTTGCTCCCTGGCTGGCTGGGGATTGAACTCGTGTTGCAGAGGCTGAAGATTGCTTCATAGTGCGTTGCTTAACCTGCTGCGCCACCAGGGAGGGCCCACACATGACTATTTTAAATAATGTTTTGAACCTTATTTAGAAAGGCCCTCTCCATTCTGAGAAATACATATTTTTTTAAAAAAACTGTGTTTCTTCTAGTATTTTTGTGGTTTAAATCTTTGAACTTTCTACTGTGAAAAATAGCTTTTTTCCCAATTGTATATAGTACAATTATACATGTTATAGTATATTTTAGAATGTTAGTATATCATATATAATAGTATATATTTAGCATTATAGTATAAAATAGCATATTATGGTATAATACTTATATATTATGTAAAAACATACATAATATAGTAAAATGCATTTTTAGTTATACATGTAAAATTTATATTCAGAAAAATACCTTTCATGGGTCCTCTGTGTTTACTCTACTTCCCACCAAATCCAGCCTCCTTAACATGCCTTTTAAGTCCTCTGATAATTCAACCATTCCAATTCCCTCCCTCAATATGTCCTTTCATATATCTGTGTTCTAAAAATCCCAGACTGCTCACCACTCCCAAAATAGAACTTTCATTTCTTGCCCTTGTTTATAGTTTCTCTCAACATGGCATTCCTTGCCCTTTTTATCCCAAAGTTTAGTGACAGTGAGATTTACCTGAGATTTTGTTAAAAGTGTAGTTACTGAAATACATCACCAAGATTTTGATTCAAAAGTTCTAAGGAAGTACCCCCAAATAATTCAGTCCAGTTGATAGGTTCCACACTTTGAGAAATATTAGTATTGTAGAAAGAGAGAAGACTTGGTTTTGCTTCCCAGACCTATTTATTAATTATATGGTTTTATTTTTTTTAAAGATTTTTTTATTTATACATACAAGAACTGGGGTACAGGCCAGAGGTGTGGTGGGGTGAGAGGAGTCACCAGAGACAGAGTCGGGAACAGAACAGGCAGATTGACCGAAGTACACTGTTGAGGGGAGCAGCGGGCAAGTCAGGAGGGGTCTGCTGAGAGGTCTGCTGTGCCATGTGGGTTGCTCCTTGGCTGGCCAGGGATCCAATTCATGCTGCAGACAGCTTCATAGGTTGGGTCTTAACCCCTTGAGCCAGTAGGGAGGCCTTAATTATATGGTTTTAGAAAAAAAAATTAATTTTGCTAAGATTCCCTTTTCCCTCATGTAGTATGTGGAGGCCCAAACATGGTGGCAGACCTAAAGAGAGTGAATTTTTATGACTGTTTCTGAAGATCTTATTCAACACCTTCCTGTGAAGTCTTTATGCTACTTGTTAGAATTATGCTTTCTTTTTACTCAACTAGTATGTTTATCTTTCTATTTAACATTTACATCATTCTCTCACTGACATAGTTAATTTATTAGCCTGCCATTCTGGCTTGTAAATGCTTTGTAGGAGAGGATACTGTCTTCTTCATAATTGTATTAAGTGCTTTCTGTTTATCTTGTACATTTCAATACTGAAAAAAAATATTTTGTCCCTTAAGGTTATTTTTATTATAAATAGGTATACTTAAATTTTTAATATAGTAAAATAATAAGTAACAATATTGTAAAACAAAAAACTGTGACGCATTAGCGAAAATTTGATAGCCACATAGATTTTGAAAGCTTACTCATATAGGGAAATAAAGTCTCATTAATCAAATCTTCCACACCTATCCCAATCCCATCCCCTCTATTTACTAAAGGTGAGATGAGAGCTGAAACTGAGGACAGGTTTGTTGAGTTATGGTCAGTAATTATATCAATCTAATTCTTCTTAATTTTTTCAAGAAACAACATAATCAAAAGAATACAGGCTATCCAAAACACTGGGAAAGGTTATGAAACTCAGAACCTCTATGTAATGCTGAGTAGAATTGATGACTACCAGAAAAAGGTGATGCATACCTGGACCAGGAAGCAGAAAGCTCTAGAGCAGAAACGGAATCAGTGCCTGAGGAAAATGACACACTTATTTAGCAAGGTAACCTGTTTTCTATTTCTTCTCCTAGTGTGTTTTAAGAAAAACAGAAGTTTTGAAAATAACATTTGCCTGGAGATAGCATGTACATTAGTTTCCTAGGGCTGCTGTAACAAATTTCCACAAATTTGATGGCCTAAACCAGGAATATTATCTCACAGTTCTAGAAGTCAAGCCGTTCGCAGGCTCAATTCATTCTGGAGGCTCTGAGGCTGAGGGAGAAATTTATTTCATATCTTTCCTCTAGATTTTGGGGATTGGAGACAATTCTTGGCATTTCTTGACTTGTAGCTGCATAACTCCAATCACTGCTTCTATCTTTCCCTTCTAGCTTTCTTTTTTTTTTTTTTTTTTTTTTTAAGATTTATTTATTTATTATTTATACAAGCACTGGGTACAGTCAGAAGCGCGGGAGGGTGAGAGAATTCACAAGAGCCAGAGCGGAGAGCAGAGCAGGCAGAAGGACCGAAGTACACTGCTGAGGGGAGCAGCGGGCGGCAGGAGAGGTCTGCGCGCCATGTGGGACCCTCTTCTGGTGGCCGGGAAGCAGCCGGGGATCGAACCGGCGCCACAGAGGCTGCGGGCAGCTTCGCAACCCAGCGCTCAACCGCTGGTCCACCAGGGAGGCCCCTCCCTTCTAGCTTTCTTATGTGTATCCTATGTTCTTCTTTTCTGACTTATAAAGCCAACATGTTGTTGGATTCAAGACCCTGGTTAACCCAGAATTATCTCATCTTAAGATCGTAGCTTAATGACATCTGTAAAGACTCTTTTCAAAATAAGGTCTGGTACGATCCAGTCCATTGACTTTCTTCCTAAATTGACAACAGGAATAGTGGCTAGATTCTAGATGACAAAAGATTAGGAGATATTTTCAGAAATGTTCAACTCCTTCCTAGTCAACCCACATCCACCAGTCTATAGATATGAAACATTCTGAAGTCACTGCTATCCAAATAATTCTTGGTGATTACTATTCTACTCAAAACTACTGGAAAAGTATGTTTTAATGCCATGAGTTTGCAAGAAAATAGATAACTTGCTTACATAGCACCAGGCACAAAAAATCCTGTTAAACTCTGATATCCATTCATTATGTCCCATAAATGAATTCTAGAAACATTTTATATCTATAGATTTTCTTATTTCACTAAGTTAGCTGTAAAATTAGTTTATTTGCCATTTTAGAAGGTACAGAGAGACTTCTCATCAGTCTGAGCCAAATCAAACATATCCTAAATTTTCCACAAGTTATATTTTAATTATTAGTGCTACTTGTTTAAAAAAAAAAGATACTTTTGATAGTTTTTGACTTGGAAAATATGGTCAACATGGTAAGGCAAGATGAGTCAGCAGTTTCATAAGCTGTCTAACAGGAATCAAGATATTTAGGGCATTTCAGAGGTCAAATAAGAGTCTAAGGTCAGAAAGCCAGAATCTAGATGATGAAGTGGATATCCAGGTATAAAAAAGGGAGAAGAAAAAGCAAAAAGGTGAAGAAAGTAGTAATGCATGAATACCTTACACTGTATCAAGATATTTGTTCTGCTACCAGATTGGATTAAAACGAACCCCCCACATACAAACTAAGAGCCCTTGTAAACCACATAAATTTTCTGAACTTCAGATCCCTGTGTGTAAAACAAGAATAATAGTACCTACTTCGTAAGGTTGTTATAAACACCAAATGAGTTAATATAGAAAGCATCAACTTTCAGTAAATATTTAGTAAATGTTAGCTATCAATGCATTTATATAGTATTTCACAAGGTTTTTTAAAAAGATTTATTTATTTATGCATACAAGAACTGGAGTGTAAGCCAGAGGTGCAGGGGGTGAGAGGATTCACCAGAGGCAGAGTGGGGTGCAGAACAGGTGGATCGACTGAAATACACTGCTGAAGGGAGCAGTGGACAAGGCAGGAGAGGTCTGCTGTGCCATGTGGCTCCCTGGCCAGCCAAGATTAAACTCGTGCTGCAGTGGCTGGCTATTGCTTGATAGTGCTTTTCAACCCCTGAACCACCAGGGAGGCCCTTTTGTTTTTTTTTCAAGCTTGGTTTTCTCAAGATGCATTGCCTTTTATTTATTTTTTAAAATTTATTTATATATATTTTACATCATTGTTCATTTTTAAACAATGTTTGCTTGTTTCCCCCCCCCTCAGGCGTAGTCCCCATCGAATTTCCTCCACCAATTCACCAGTTTTTAAGGAGTGCTTTGCAAACTTTTTTTTTTTTTAGAAATGAGAGGAAAGAGAAGATAGAATTAGCAACTCACCAAAAGTCACACAGCTAGAAAATGAGAGGAATAGTACTAGAGCTAAAGGGACCAAGTATTTTCTATATCACACTGCCACTTCTGAAAATTGTGTTTTAGGGTTGGGGTAAAGGTTGAGGAGTAGTTGGAGAAAGGTAAAAAGAGAATGGCGAAAGAGGATTTACAAATTCATAGAAAAGGAAGAGTCATAAATTTAGTCTAGGGCCAGCTCAAAGCACCTTCCTAAAGACTCTGGCCCTTTCTTTTCATACTTTTCTTTTCCTGATTTGTTTTTAGCTCCAAGAGACATACCACTTAAATCTTAGTCAACCTATCCCCCTGATCATCGACAAAAAACAGGTACCTGCATCTACCAAATTTGTTCAACAGCCCTTCCTACAGCTACTAATGGAAGAGGACAGAAAATCTGACATATTCAAGAAATTTAGGTATGTGACAGGAAAAATTGACATTATGTGGGGATCTAATGTTTTTTTTGTCCTATCTAAAAGTCTCCCCTTTCTGATAATTGTGATATGGTAGAGAGTCTAAGGGAGTATTTATTTTCTTAGCCAATTTAGCAAGAGATTTACATGTATTTCTACTTAACATCTATTTTGAGTTCCTTTTAAAAAATGCTGCTTCTTCCTATTAAGAAACAAATTATTTTAATAATTCACAATGGAGAAACTTCGAAACATCACCCTTTTTTTTTAAAAATATTTATTTATTTAAGCATACTAAAGAGCTGAGGTGTAGGCCAGAGGTGCAGGAGGTGAGAAGTTTTACCAGAGACAGTGGGAAGCAGAACAGGCAGATCAACTGAAACACACTGCTGAGGGGAGCAGCAGGCAAGACAGGAGATGTCTGCTGCGCCATAAATGGGTTAGCTTCCTGATGGGGATCAAACTCATGCTGCAGAGGCTGGAGATAGCTTGATAGCTGAGACTTTAATCCCTGAGACCTTTCTTTTCTTAAAGGAAGTATGACTTTTGAGAAGGAAAGGGAAAGGATTATGGCTGGAAAAAAATATCCTATATACTCCATGAAGCTAAGAGGTAGTTTTAAATTGGATTACTAGATGAAATCATGGAAATACAGCTTTAGTAACAACTTCATCAAGTTCTTCTGTTTTAATCCATCTCTCAGCCAAAGTGGGCATAGATAATGTTCTTCAGTGTAAGGGAGGGCATTATAGGACAGGTGGTAATGAAAAAAAGAGGGGAAGAGTAGGAATCATAAGAATTCCTTTATCTCAATTCCACAACTAGTTTCAACTATTAGCTATCCTCTTGATGTTTTTACTTGCTATGGAGCTCAAAAAAGTTTAATGTTCTCTAATTCTCTAGACAAGAAGACCAGATGGAAGCCATCTGGAACGCTGATCTGTCTACTTCAAGTTACCCAATAACAGAGAAGACAGCAATACATTCACTCTGGGCCCAGCTGGGTGGGTACCCAGGTATTCCTATGCTGCTCCAGTTAGACGTTCAGTCTACCTTCAGAAAATCTCTTGCATCCATTCAATCACAGTAAGTTAGGGACTGGGAGTATTTTGTTATCTGGCTTTAAATCACATGCCCTGATTTCCTAACTTGAATCTTTGTTGCAACATGAGTGTTACAAAAGTAGGCACTTGATAAGCAGTTAGACTTACATCAGTCATAAAACAGTACAGTAAAATGAGCTTTAGTCTTTCGTGTTTCACTTCATATTCCTGAAGAAGTCACTACTGGAATAATATAAGCAAAAACAAAACAGTTGTAATATCTAATCTAACACATACAGATATACTTCAGGTTTTTTTTGTTTGTTTTTATTTTTAACTGAGGTAATATAGGGGTGCCCCCATTAGGCATTACTATCACAGAAACTCCACCAACTCACCCGTACTCCACTGCCATAGACAATTCTGCCTTTCTCCCTCCCTGTGTTTTCCTCTCTCCCTTGGTGTCTTAGTTCTGTAATCAGTTATCAACAGTTAGTTTTTCTGCTTGTCTTTACCATTAACACCTCCATGCTGCTCTCCATAAGACTGGTATAGATCCACTTTGAATTCCACTCTTAAGGACTTGTTATTGGAAATGCCAGAAAGACCATAATAGAATGCTTTTGTCCACATCATGGTTCAGAAACATGATCTTAAATGCAGCTGTCATATCTAGGACCAATTTGAGGTAAATTAGGTGAGGTGATTTGGTGCTTATTTGAGGGTACACCAGAGACTTGGAAAGAATAGATAAGGTGATAGGTGGTTCCACATTTCCAAATTCAGTTAAAACAAATTCTCACTTAAACCACTGGAAATCATTTTGGTGGAAGTGAAGAGTTTTGGATTATGCAGTACCTCTTTCAGGACAAAGAATTATTTAATGTTCTAGAAAACTGAATTTTGGTAACCTGACTTTACAAAACAGTCTGATTTATTCTGGTAAAATCCAAGTCATGAGATAAGAAGAAATAGTGTTAATTCACTAATGTTTTCAAGTAGCAGGCATGAAGTAAGACATTCAATATTCTACAATGCAACACAATAACAGCAAGAATATTACTATATAATGTATACAATATAGAATCCTATAACATGAACACAAGTACTCATGAAAAAAGTTATGAAACAGATATAACCATTAAGTTAAAAAAGCATGACTCATTAGTTTTCTACTTAGAAAGCAACTTTATTCTTGTCTCCCATTCTTCTTTACATATTTAGAGTAATTACATAGGTTATTTTAAGGGACAACATTGCTATTATGACTAAAGTGTTTGAAACAAGATATATACATTTTTCTTTGAATAATAGTTTCCTTATCTCAATTCCATCACTAACCTCAACTATCAACCTCTTGACCTAACTATACTTTTTAAAAATTGAGGTAATACTGGTTTATAACACTGTATGAGTTACAGGTATACAGTTTCACACATCAACAACTGTATATACCACACCCTGCCCATGACCAAGTATCTAGTTACCATCCACCACCAACGGATGGACCCCCTCTATCTGTTCCACCATCATCCCACCCTCCTCCCCCATAACCACAATTCTGTTGTCAGAGTCAAGGGTTTGCTTTTGTTTTGCTTGTTCACTTGTTGTGTTTCTTTATATTCCATATATGAGTGAAAGCATATGTTGTCTTTTCCCCTCTGGCTTATTTCACTTAACACAGTTCCTTCAAGATCCATCCATGTTGTCACAAATGGCAAGATTTTGGTCTTTTTTTATAGCTGAGTAGTAATCTATCCATATATGTATATATTATATAGTATATATACACGTATATAGTATTCCATTATGTATAGCCAAAATGAGCACTTAGGTTGTTTCCACTATGTTGGACTAGTGCTGCACTGAACATAGGGGTGCATATATCTTTTTGAATAAATGCTTTTATATTCTTCAGATAGATAACTAGAAGTGTAATTGTTGGATCATATGCCAGATACATTTTTTTGAGGAACCCCTATAATGTTTTCCATAATGGCTGCACCAATTTATATTCCCACCAATGCATAACGGTTCCTTTTTTTTTTTTAAAGATTTATTTATGGAAAGGAAGTACTAGGGTCAAAATAAGGGAGGGGTGCAATTGTATGGGGAATATAACCAAAATGAAAATGCATACATTGTGCAAAAATGAAAGGTGATGTAAGAATTATATAAAATAAAGTATTAAAAAATAAAAAATATAGGGGCCTCCCTGGTGGCGCAGTGGTTGAGCGCTAGGTTGCGAAGCTGCCCGCAGCCTCTGCAGCGCCGGTTCAATTCCCGGCTGCTCCCTGGCCACTGGAGGAAGAGCCCACATGGTGCACGGACCTCTCCTGCTGCCCGCTGCTCCCCTCAGCAGTGTACTTCGGTCCTTCTGCCTGCTCTGCTCCCTGCTCTGGCTCTGGTGAATTCTCTCAACCTCCCGCGCTTCTGACTGTACCCAGTGCTTGTATAAATAAATAAATAAATCTTTAAAAAAATATATATATAAGCACTGAAAAAAAAAAGATTTATTTATGCATACAAAAACTGGGATGTGGGGCCTCCCCTGGTGGCGCAGTGGTTGAGCGCTGGGCTGCGAAGCTGTCCACAGCCTCTGCAGCGCCGGTTCGATCCCCGGCCACTGGCGAGGGTCCCACATGGCGCGCAGACCTCTCCTGCCACCCACTGCTCTCCTCAGCAGTGTATTTTGTCACTCTTCCTGTTCTGTTCCCTGCTTTGGCTCTGGTGAATTCTCTCACCCTCCTGCACTTCTGACTGTACCCCCAGTGCCTGTATGAATAAATAAATAAATAAATAAATCTTTAAAAAAAAAAACTGGGATGTGGGCCAGAGGTGAGGGGTGTGTGAGAGGAGTCACTAGAGACAGAGTGGGGAGCAGAACAGGCAGATCTACTGAAGTACACTGCTGAGGGGTGCAGCAGGTGAGAGGAGAGGTCTGCTGCGCCTTGTGGGTTAGCTCCTTGGCTGGGGATCAAACTCACGTTGCAGTGGCTGGCAATAGCTTGATAGCACTGTGTCTTTAATCCCTGTACCACTAGGGAGGCTCATAAGGGCTCCTTTTCATCCACACTTCTGCCAACACCTACTGTTTTCTTCTTGATAATAGCATTTCTAACCAGTGTGTGGTAAAATCTCATGGCAGGTTTGGATTTACAGTTTCCTAATGATAATCAATGTAGAACATCTTTTCATGTGTCTGTTGGATATTTGTAAGTCTTCTTTGGTGAAATGTTTATTTTGATCCTCTGCCTATTTTTTAACCGGGCTGTATTTCTGTTGTTGAATCATGTGAGCTTACATATTTTTTTATCTCTTTTGTTTCTCCTGCTATTGGAGATAAATCCACTAAGACCAACGTCAAAGAACTTATTACCTTATGTTTTTTCTATGTATTTTATGATTTCAGATCTTATATTCAAATCTTTAATACAACTTGTATTACTTTTAACATATGGTGTAAAACAGCAGTTTAATGTATTTTGCATGTGGCCATCCAGTTTTCCCAGCACCATTTATTGAAGAGACTTTCCCTTCTCCATTGTATGCTCTTGATTCCTTTGTCAAAAACTAGTTGTCCATTTACATGTGTTTATTTTTGGGTTCTCATTCTATTGCATTGATCTGTGTATCTATTTTTATCCCAATGCCATATTGAGTACTATCACTTTGTAGTTTTGTTTTTGGTCAGAGAGCATGATATGTTCATTCTTTTTCTTAGGATTGCTTTTTTTTTTTTTTTTTTTTTTAAAGCTTTTTTTTTTTTTTTTTTTTTTATAGAGGCATGTTTATTTATTTATTTATCTGTTTGTTTGTTTGTTTTGTTTATACAAGCACTGGGTACAGTCAGAAGCGCGGGAGGGTGAGAGAATTCACCAGAGCCAGAGCGGGGAGCAGAGCAGGCAGAAGGACCGAAGTACACTGCTGAGGGGAGCAGCGGGCGGCAGGAGAGGTCTACGCGCCATGCGGGACCCTCCTCTGGTGGCCGGGGAGCAGCCGGGGATCGAACCGGCGCCGCAGAGGCCGCAGGCAGGTTCGCAACCCAGCGCTCAACCGCTGCGCCACCGGGGAGGCCCTTCTTAGGATTGCTTTTGATGTTTGTTGTTCCATCACAAATTTTAGGATTTTTGGTTCTATTTCTGTACTATTGCATTGAACCTGTATTTGCCTTAGGTAAAATGGCCACTTTGACAATATTGATTCTTTTAACCCATAAGCATGGAATGTATTTCCATTTCTTTGTATCTTCTTCAATGGGGTCTTACAGTTTTCAGTGTACAGGTCCTTTGCTTTCTTGGTTAAATTTATTACCAGGTATTTTATTCTATTTTTTTAAAGATTTATTTATTTATCCATACAAAAACTGGGGTACAGGCCAGAGGTGTGGGGGGATGAGAGGATTTACCAGCGACAGAGTGGGGAACAGAACAGGCAGACTGACTGAAATACACTGCTGAGGGCAGCAGTGGGCAAGTCAGGAGAGGTCTGCTGCACCATGTGGGTATCTCCCTGACCAGGGATCGAACTCATGCTGCAGTGGCTGCAGATAGCTTCATAGGTTGCGTCTTAACCCCTTGCGCCACCAGGGAGGCCCCTTTTATTCTTTTTGATGTAACCATAGTAGTCTTGTTTTCTGTATTTCTTTGTTTCTTCATTGTTTGTATACAGAAACACAACTGATTTTTGCATATTGATTTTTTGGCCTGCAACTTTACTGTATTCACTTATTGTTTCTAACTTTTTTTGTGCCCATGGAGTCTTTAAAGTTTTCTATGTCATTTAGTCTATTGATAGTTTTACTTGTTTTCCAATATGGATAAATATAGTGACAGTTTTACTTCTTTTCCAGTATGGATAAATTTATTTCTTTTTCTTTCCTAATTGCTCTGGCCAGTACTTCCAATACTATGTTAAATAATAGTGGTGAGAGTGGACATCTTTGTCTTTTTTTGGTCTTAGAGGAAAAACCTTCGCATTTGTTATATCATTTGGTTTTATTATGTCTAGGTATGTTCATTCCATACCCATTTCTTAAAATTTTTCTCATAAATGGATGCTAAATCTTAAAATACTTTTTCTGCATCTATTGAGATGATCATATGATTTTTTTATACTTCATTTTGTTGACTTGCTGAATCACATTGATGACTATGCATATGTTGAATTATCCTTGCAAACCTGGAATAAATCCCACTGATCATTGTGTAAAATTCTTTATCTTTTTAAGGTACTGTTGAATTTGCTTCTCTCATACTTTGCTGAAGATTTTTATGCTGATGTTCATCAGAAATATCCGAAGTTCATCAGAAATATTGGCTGATAATTTATTTTCTTGTGTGTTTCCTGCCCTTGTCTGATTTTGGTGTCAGCATTATGCTGGCCTCATAAAAGGAAGTAGGCAGTGTTCCCTCCTTTTGAGCTTTTTTGGAAGAGTTTGACAAGAATGGGTATTAGAGGGCCTCCCCGGTGGCGCAGCGGTTGAGCGCTGGGTTGCGAAGCTGCCCGCGGCCTCTGCCGCGCAGGTTCGATCCCCGGCTGCTCCCCAGCCACCAGAGGAGGGTCCCACATGGCGGGCAGACCTCTCCTGCCGCCCGCTGCTCCCCTCAGCAGTGTACTTTGGTCCTTCTGCCTGCTCTGCTCCCCGCTCTGGCTCTGGTGAATTCTCTCACCCTCCCGCGCTTCTGACAGTGCATGTATAAACAAACAAACAAATAAATAAATAAATAAAACATGCCTCTATTAAAAAAAAAAAAAAAAGAATGGGTATTAGATCTTCCTTGAATGTTTGATAAGAACTCTCCAGTGGAGTTATCTGGTCCTTTGTATTGCGGGAGGTTTTTTATCACTGTTTCAATTTCTTAACTTGTGATAGGTCTATTTAGGTTTTCTCTTTCTTCATGAATCAATCTTGGGAGGTTATAACAATCTCTTTCTTCATGAATCAAGGAATTTATTCATTTCCTCTAGGTTGTCCAATTTTTGGCATATAGATGTTTGCAGTAGTCTCTTATAATCCTTTGTATTTCTGTGGCAGTTGTCATGTCACTGCTTTATTTCTAGTTTGAGACTTTTCTCTTTATTTCTTAATAAGTCTAGCCAAAGATTTGTCAATTTAATGAAATTTTCAAAAATCCAACTCTGTTTCATTGGTCTTTTGTAATTTTTCTGTTTTCTATTTCACTTATTTTTCCTCTGATTTTTATTATTTCCTTCCTTCTGTTGGTTTTGGGTTTCAGTGTCCTTTTTTACCTACTACCTTTAGGCATAAGGCTTATTTGAAATTTTTCTTGTTTCCTGAGATGAGCCTGTATTACGATAAAAAGATCTGACAGATCTAAGATTTTTCAAGCTATTTAATTTTTTTACTTATTGTCTTGATAGTGTAGAACCTCCTGCAAATTTTTTCAAAAATTTTCTGTGCACTTACTTTTTGGTTACAAAAATGAGCTCATTTTAGACATGTTTTTTAACCTGTATGTGTTTCACATAACAGTATCTATTTGAAAGTTTTCTATATTAAACCCTACATCATAATTTTTATTGGTTGTATGACATTTATTATACAGATCTATCATAATTTACTGAACTATTCTACTGATAACAATTTGGCTATTTTTTAATATTACAAATTATACTTGAGCAAATATCCTTCCACAAATTTGTATATGTATATGGCAACTTACTTGTGGAAATTTAATTAAAATATTTTTTCTAATTATAAAAGTAATGCCTGTTCATCATAGAAAATTTAAAAAATACAGACAAGTAATAACAAACACTGTGAATATTCAGGCCACTTTCTAACTGCAGATATAAGAATACTGTCTCTTAAGTAATAAGCTATTGCCAATCCCTGCTCTTCCTGATTTTGGTTCAGAGAGACATCCACCTTGTTAAAGTGATCTATATATACCAATTCACTAGTTTAATTTTGTGAACTCTGGAGTCACTCTAATTTTCTCTTAGAAATCATCTATATTCCCACAAGTATGTTTTAGAACAATTTGTAATAAGATTAATTTTTCATCTTGTTTCCAGGTTTAAGAAGATTCCCAAGTGACTGCAAAATTAAACACAAGCACACTGAAAGTAAATTTTAATATTTCAATTAAATGCCTATTTTGCTATTTCCTTTGTGTACATACATTACTTTGTCTAGCCTTTACTTTTATAGCCTGACAGTAGTTTTTCAGGTTGAACATGTCTATTTCCAGGCTACTACTATGACCATTCAAGAACACAAAGCTTCACCAAATCGTGGAGTAGGCTGTCATGAAAGGTACATGTATGACCCCTGGCATGATGGCAAAGTGGTAGGGTCTACCTTCCCCAACTCAAACCCAAAGATCCTTCAGAAATAAGAAATGAATGTATATTAAAAAAGGAAATAATACAAAACAAACAAAACCAGCAGACCTCTGGATGGTCAGAAGGTCGTTATGATTTTATTCTCTAGAGTAAGGGGAAGACCACATTCCTAACACAGGATAGACTGGAGAAGAAATTTTGAATTGAGCTCTTCTCTGTCTACCAGAATAGATCAGTGCCCTTCCCATCAGCCCAACTATAATACTGAAAATAGGGATCAGAGGGGGATATACGGTGAAAATAAAAACAAAACAATATATGCTAGCTCAATCAACAAGCATCTAAAGGCCTCCTTTGCACCCAAGGGCAAAGCCCTCTGATGAGAGTGATACTTAAGAGGTTATTCAAAGTTGGAGCCCCCTTCTTCATTAGGAGTGGCACAAGTTAACCTAGACTTTGAGTCCTCCCACCACTTTCTCCATCCATTATATACCACCAAGATAACTGATGCCCACGAAGAGAAATGACCTCACAGGGACAAATAACTAGAAAGGCAATAAATTGAATAACCTATTCTAGATTATAAGAATTGATAGAATTCAAGAGCCAAATAAATGTTCCCAAGGAGGATACTGATATGAAGCACAAACAACTGTAAAGAACCAAGGAAGATTACTGAATATTCAAAATATGGTTGAAATAAATTCATTAGATGATATAAACACCAAATGGGCATAGCCTAAGATCATGTCAAGAAACTTTTCCAGAAGATATACAGAAGGAATAAGAGATGAAAAATATGAAAATTAAAATATAACAGACTATGCTCAGAAATGACTGCATTAGGGGCCTCCCCGGTGGCGCAGCGGTTGGGCACTGGATTGCGAAGCTGCCCGCGGCCTCTGTGGCGCCGGTTCGATCCCCGGCTGCTCCCCGGCCACCGGAGGAGGGTCCCACATGGCGCGCAGACCTCTCCTGCCGCCCGCTGCTCCCCTCAGCAGTGTACTTTGGTCCTTCTGCCTGCTCTGCTCCCCGCTCTGGCTCTGGTGAATTCTCTCACCCTCCCGCACTTCTGACTGTACCCAGTGCATGTATAAACAAAAACAAACAAACAAATAAATAAAACATGCCTCTATTTAAAAAAAAAAAAACTTTCTGAGAAGAGCAACTCACCCACAAAGAAAATTACACAGAATGTCAGACTTCTCAGGAGCAACATTAAAGACAGGGAAATAATGAAACATTTCCAAATACTGAAAACAGACACTCTGACTCTAAAATTTTATATTCAGTTATCACTTAAATACGAGAATAATAAATACATTCTCAGACTTTCAAGGTCTCAGCAGATTATCATAAAAATCCTTTTTGAAGGTACTCTTGGAGAAAGTAATCTATCAAACAAAAAAATTTAGGAACTGTCATAAAATATAAAATATTGAGAATAACTCAGTAAAGTATGTTGTCTAAAACTGCACAACATATACATAGCATTATAAACATATATGTTTATAAAACAAAGTGGGGTACAGGGTGTAACATGCAGAGGGAGGTAAGAGTCTCTGTGTAAAAATGTTTGCCCTGGGCCTCCCTGGTGGTGCAAAGTGTTAAGATGCAACCTATGAAACTGTCCACAGCCTCTGCAGCACAAGTTCGATCCCCAGCCAGCCAGGGAGCTACCCACATGGCGCAGCAGACCTCTCCTGTCTTGCCTGCAGCTCCCCTCAGCAATGTATTTCAGTTAGTCTGCCAGTTCTGCTCCCCACTCTGTCTCTGGTGAATCCTCTCACCCAACGCACCTCTGGCCTGTACCCTAGCTCTTGTATGCATAAATAAATCTTTTAAAAAAATAAATAAAATATTTGTCCTACTGCAGGGTAGATACAGATAGGCATTGGTAAGTTTCATAAATTGGAGGGAAATAAAGTTTTAATGATCATTAATATAGTTGCTTATATAACAATATAATTTGAAAATATATAAAGCAATAACTGAGCCCTGACTCTTCCCTGATAATACTGCCTCACTTACAGACCTCTCAAATGATGTCTGTGTTAACTTCCAAATCCCCCTCATCACTTGGCCTGGAAATGAGATGGGGCTCTTAATCACTTACCAGTGCTACTTCCAGATCATTCTCCCCTACTCTAATAATACTCGACTTTAAATCTCTGGTCATTATATGCTACTAATTGTCCTCCCTGTCATTTGCTGCCTCCTTGCTCACTATATCACTCTATCCAATACTTCTGTCATAATCCCTAGTAATTTCAATATTCATATAGATAGATCTTTCTAAAGTGTGGCCTTTCAACATTTTGATCTATTTTCCTTCAGTAAGTTAATTCTCTAGCCATTATTCCTACCTTTTGCCTTGTCATTACCAAAACAAACAAAACCCTGCAACCCTTCTATAATCTAACTATTACATTCTCCAAACTTCATCTCTTCTAGTATTCCAACTCCACTTTCTTTCTGTCCCTCAACCCTTCACTTTTGTAACCCAGTTTAAATTCCATGGTTGATAATTACAATCAGTCTCTGACACATGCTCTCAATTCAAACTCACTCACCCCTCTTTTGCTCTGAAGTACTTCTTGATAGCACAGCCAAGCATAAAAACACAACTTTCTCTGCCTATTCCATAACTACTCTGATGGCTAAATTTGGCTTCAGGAAAACATTCAAATTTGCTTACAAGTCTTAATTTATATAATTATTAACCTTAAGTGGGCCCTAATGTTACCACCAAACACACTGTATTTCCCTGATTCAGACAGAGATGGGAGCATTACCAAAACAATGTTCTTGAATAGAAGACAGAAGACAGGATCTAGTGTACAAGTGGAAGGAGTCATATAGTTCATCCACAGGTCACAGTGAAAGTAAAATAGATGGGTACAAACATGGATAGTTAAGAAAATAAGGTGGTAGAAGTATGTGGAGTTAATTATTGCTTCCTTTTTTTTTTTTTCTGAGTGCAAAAAGGAGTTAGGCCATTAGCCAAGAAAGATAATAAAAGAGGTCTCAGAGATTTGAGGAAACATAAGAAAATACAAAATTGTTCAGGAAAGCCAAAGTGAATGGATCAGGCCAAAACTTGATTGATTACCAGCATGACAAAATTTAAGAGGTGGTAAATTACCAAATCCTGGCAAGATATGTGGTGAACCTGACCTGTGCACAGCAGGTGGAAGTGTAAACTGCCTTAGCCTTTCTGGGAAGCAGACTGTAAATACTTAGTGAACTTAAGTGTGTGTACCTTGTAATTCCAAGATCCCATTTTCTGGATATATGCCCAAGAAAAATTGTCATATGGGTTACCACGGGAACACATACAAGTATTCACCCAGACCTCTCCACAATAGCAGAAAGGCAGAAGCAACCTATCTTTCTGGTAGAAGGGGAATAGATAAATAAAACGGAATGGATGCAGACTGTGGAGGAAATGGAGCAACTAAAAGTAACTAGGTATAATTATAGTGTACACACAGATTTTAAATATATAATGTTAAATGAGAAAAGGAAAACAATGGATATTTAAGACACAATATCATTTATTGTGTATATATTTTTAAAAATACATGTTCTGGATTCTGATGACACTTCCCACACTACACAGAGCAAAAATAAAAGCAAACAAAAACTCCTACAACTAACACTAAACAGAAAATAATCCTACAATCTTGAGAAAAATACAGTAGGGACCAGCCAGCAACCCCACAAATATGCAGAAGTTATAGAAGTTGATTGAAAGAGTAGGAAATATGGAGGGCCTTAGTATTGCTAGAACCTCATAACATTAAGGGTCCACCCCCAGAAAGAAGTCACCCTTAATGGAACAGCTGAGAGCTGTTGTGAAACCTGGTAGATTAGCATGGACAATAAGAGTCAAAAGATAGGGCTTGGGGCCTCCCCTGGTGGCGCAGCGGTTGATCACTGGGCTGCAAGGCAGCCCGCAGCCTCTGTAGCTCTGGTTTGTTCCCTGGCCGCCAGAGAGGGTCCCACAAAAAAAAAAAAAGATAGGGCTTGGAAAATTCATAGGAACAAAGGTGAGACTCTTGGGAAAGAGTGACCTGAAGGAAAAAGAAACATTTTAGAAAGTTATTTGTTCCTTGGAAAACAGTAATAAATGCTCTCAACACTGGGCAGTAAATGGGAGAAAAGTAGTAACTAGTTTAAGTACCCCACTGGAAAAAAAAAAAAGAGAAGCAGAAGTCTAACTACAAAAAAAAAAAAAAAGCACACTATAATTAAGAAAGCTGTTCTTAGGTCTCCCTGGTGGCACAGGGTCGTTAAAATCTCAGTGCGATCAAGCTATAGCTAACTATTGCGGCATAAGTTCAATCCCCAGCTAGGCAGCTGACCCACATGGCACAGCAGACCTCTCCTGTCTTACCCGCTGCTCCCCTCAGCAGTGTATTTCAGCCAGTCTGCCTGTTCTACTCCCCACTCTGTCTCTGGTGAATCTTCTCGTTCTCTTTCTCTTTCTCTCTCTCTCTCACATGCACACACACACGCACACTCACACACACTCTCTGGCCTACACCCCAGTTCTTGTATGCATCAATAAATAAAATAAATCTTTTTAAAAAAGAAAGAAAACTGTTCTTCACTATAGCAACAGAAGAGGGAGTTCTTGAGCTTAAAAACTGAGAAGTCCTCCACTGTGTTCAAATATAAATAACAATAAACTCAGTATCCATACAACATTAACTCAAGGGGAAAAAAGGCCCAGAAACAAGACTTAGAAATTTTGACAGGTGAAAGCATACCAGAAAAAAAGCTGTCTCAAAGCAG